AAAAAACAGGTTTAATCCTTATAACAAAATAAATTTTCAGTTTTTACTTGCCAATTTAAACCCTAAATTTTTTATTTGTTTTCAATTTAAATCGTGTCTATTTTTGTTAAGTAAAATCAACAGAAAAAATAATATTTTAATCATTAAAGTCGATGAAAAATAGTATTTTAGACATTTTATCTAATGACTAAAGTACTCTTTTTGTCAATTTTATTTAATGAAATCATGCGAATAATTTGAATTGAAAATAAATTATAAAATTATGGTTTAAATTGACAAAATTAAAAATTCATGATTTATTTTGTATAAGGCTCAAACTATGGGTGCAACTCAAACAAGTTGAGAGGTTGTCTAAGTCCAAACCAAGTTGTACTGAGAGCTGCCCAGGCCCACCCAAACTCGAATTGTAAGCCAAGATTATCTGCCCAAACCCGACTCGAGTTGCCTAAATTTCCCGAATTGCACATAAGTTTTTTCTGCTTTCTTTTTTGAGTGTAGCTAAGTTAATTAATTTGTTAAAATTATACTATTTACAATTTTTTTTAATATATAAAATCATTAATAACATCAAAATAAATAGTTTATATAATGTAAAAGAGATACCGTTATGATAGTCTTTACAATTTATGAGTGAGAAAAAATAAATAAGTAAAATTTTGTATTGTGTTACTTGTGTATATAATATATATTCAATATGATTTAATGATCTAAATTACTTTCATATCATCTAATGACTAATAATTTACATATGTATTTAATATTTTTTTATATTTATACATAAAATACAGGTTTCAGATTGCTCGTGTTATTTGATATCTTTACCCAAACCCGCCCAAATATAATTTAGAGTTTTAAATTTTTGCTCAAACTCATACTGAATTTAAAAATATTTTATCCAAACCTTAAAAAATTGGGCAAATTACACTAATGGTCTCTATAATTTGGGGTGTGTGTCACTTTGGTCCCTGACTTTTCAATTGTAACACATTTGACCCTAAATTTTGAATGTTGTTCCAAATAAGGACAATTGAAGATAACATTGCTCAATTCCAAGGACAAAATCATCAATTTGATAAAATATAAACAAAATTGACAAAAATAAATGTCAAAAAAATATTTTTAAATTTTTAAAAATTATTTCTACCCACTAAAGATAAAATTATGTAAAATTGATAAATCTTTAACACATTTATTTATTTTACCAAATTAATTTTTATTATGTGTTTGGATGATGATCATGTAATGGGTGGTTGTTAGACTTTTAATGTGTAATCAATATATTTAATATATGAAATTTTTTTAGTTTTGAATTTTTTGATTTAATGGATTGGTTTAATAATGATATCAAAATTGTCGCTATATTTGATGTGACGCCCCAAAATTTAAGGACATCATAATAAGATTTAGACTTAAAATCAATATTGCCACCAATATTACTAACATCCATTTATTAACAACCCAGAAAATTTAATTTTTTAAATTACAACTTAGTCCTAGTACAAAAAAAATAATACAAATATAAAAAACGAAAAACAAGAAAACTCAGAAAAATGGATCATAGAACTTTGGTACGCTTCAAGCTAACCAGGGCTGAATGTTGCCTTTCAACACCTCAGTATTTCCTTCTGTTTCTTCGGTACTTGGCATAAAACGCTAGGGCAATGAGAATGCTAATGAACGACGAGCTCAATAAGATACTACAACTCGAAAATACCCACCCCGATAATAATACTCACAATTAATGAATATTGTCTAGTAACAAAATAACAAGTTGCATTTAATAAGCATAACATGAATGCTATCAATTGAAGTAATAACAATAGATAATAAGAACAATGGCAAACGGAAACAGTATTTCATTGTAAGGAAAAATACTAACTTTTCTTTTTAAATTCTCATAAATTTAGTTTATCAGATAAATTTAAGTAACTCTCCGCGAAGCACTATTTTCACTCAACCGCTAAGTAATGGCCACGGGAAATTCTGACTCCCCCTTGGTCAATTATTCAAATGTTACTTGCTATAACTACCAATGATGCCCACGCACCAGGGTTACGTACCCGAGTCGTGACATCACGGTCTGCCCAAGGGAACGGTCTATGTTTTGACACCCGCACCACTAACCTTATATCGCCTACACTGATAAAAACCGAAATACTTTCTCGTGCCATGTTAGGGTTCGCAACTTACTTGCGTAATATTCTAAACCGGACTCACCCTATCACTTTTAAATTTTAATGTATCGGTTCAATTTCGTTTTTCTTTACTTCCTCTAATTCACGTTTTCATGCATGTACGAGTTTTAGTTTGAAAACCACAATATCATAATGTTTATATAGCACAACACAATCATGTATGGCAACCAAAATAGATATGAAAGAATGTCTTAGGACTCATCACAAAATTTCTTAGGAATTTACACACTTCTTCTTTCAGCACTGTATGGTCTAAAATAAATATATGAAACTCATACCAAACGAAGTTCAACCATTACAATATTTTAACTAGTGTTAGTTCATCGAGTTAGGAAAATGTTTTGAGAAGAATACCATGGCTAAAAATGATTTTAAAATAGAGAAATAAATTTGGAAGAAAACTGGTTTTTCTGGGACAGTGAGTTACATTAACTTCGAGCACAACTGATCTGTGTTTGAAAAATAAAAAAAAGGGCCTCAAACAGTGTCAAAAAGAGGTATGGCTAGAACAGCTTGCTAGATATTTGAGTTTAGAATATATTTCCAGAAGAGTTTGAAGACTGAAAACCAATGGAAGATGGTCAAATAATTTCTATAACAAAACTGGACAGATTCTGTCATATTTTGGAAAAATTGATGTTTCTCTCTCAATACTTAATAAAAATTTTGAAACCAGCTGCATTTGAAAGGTAACTTAAAAATCTAACTTTTCCAATTTGAATCACTTGAAAACTCATTCTGTAGAATAAACAGTGACCTGATAAAGTCAGCATTGTTGTTGCCTCCAAACAACAATGATGTTAAAAAATATGTTTTGACTTGTTAAATAATTTTTTTTTATTTCAATATCCTAATACCATGAAAACATGTTAAACTAACTCCAATAGTTTCAGATTTTATGAAAGTGTTCCCATAAGTTTGTTTGGGCTTATTCAAAATGGATTAAAATCTGTTTTGCTAAAAGTTCCTTGTTTTGCGAAAAACACACTTTGTATTCACCATGAATCACATTCAAGACTATAAAAATTGTTTCTTACTACTATTCCCATGTTAAACTCTAATCCTTCATATTTACTTTCATTAGTGGTGATAGGGAATAGATGAAAATAACATTTGTGAAGAGTAAACACAAATTCATAAACATGCAAGACTAATTCAAACAACGGAAAATATTTAAACACGTAAGAAGAAAAATCAGTAACTAAACCATCTAATCCATACTTGCAAGAATGATAGAAATCATATAATCATAAGATTATCATTCTATCAAAATGTAGATATGCATTGAGCCTTTGTGTATTATTAAAGCACACTCTTGCATTTTTTTTATTTTTTATAGATTTAGTTAAGAAAAAATATCTAAGGAATGATAGAAGTTGAGTATTCTTACTTCAATGAAGTTTTAAAAAAAAATCTCAAATGTTGAGCCATTTTTCTACACTCTTCTCTCCTTTCCCGCTTGCTTTCTCTCCCTCTCTTTCTCTTTTGTTCCAGCCGAAATTTGCAAGTTCTGTGCTGGAGGATTTTGTGTTTCTTATATAGACTAAAATGGGAGGGAAAACTTGGACAGGGGATTGGTAAGAGAAAGCATGCATGCATGGTCATTGGTGGGTTGCCAATCCCATATGGCACACTTATGATAACCCACCCCTACACTCAAAGGTGAGAAAAATTCTGATCGAGCATGCAACATCTCCATATAAGACAAAATTTATCCTTTCCCATAAGGGTTGGCTCATGGCCGGCCTCCTCCTTTATTTTTTTTGCTAGTCTATGTGTGTGTGTAAAGAATAAAATCAATGAATATATACAATCTAGTCGCTAGATATTTTGCTCCCTACTATCTTTTGATTAATTCAGTTACTATTTATTTAACTCATTTAGTTTCCACAACTGTATTTAGATATTGAAATTTCATAACAGCGAGATAAATAATTTTATTTAAAAGAATTTAATATTGCTATTAATTATGGTGCTATTAACATTATAATTTAATAGTTTAATAATCACTATTGATTGACTTAATATTATTATTAACAAACTAATTAATTGTCTAAAAAGTCAGGTTCTTACATTTGACTTTTGGAAAAATAGAAACTAATTTAATGAAAAAAAAAAAAATCACCCATTACACGATCATCATCCAAACACATAATAAAAATTAATTTGGTAAAATAAATAAATAAATAAATATGTAAAAGATTTGTCAATTTTACATAATTTTATTTTTAATGAGTAAAAATAATTTTTTTAAATTTAAAAATATATTTTTGACATTTATTTTTATCAAATTAATTTATATTTTATCAAATTGATGATTTTACCATTGAAATTGATTAATAGTATCTTCAATTATCCTTATTTGGAATAAGATTCTTTGGAATAAGATTCAAAATTTAAGGTCAAATGTGTTATAATTAAAAAGTTAGGAACCAAAATAACACGATTTCAAACTATAGAGAGTGTTAGTATAATTCACTTTAAAAAATTTCAAAATGAGTTAAATCTGACCAAGTTGCACTGCAAGCTCAAATCCTGAATTTTGTGTGTAATTGTCCCAATCTTAAATTTCTTAAGTGATAAAAATGAAGGAAAAATAAATATACTTAACAGTCATTTTTTTTCTTTAAATAAAAAAATCGTTTTTATAACACTAGCCTTTAGAGACGACCATTAGAGTGGTGGAAAAAGAGTTTTTACTCTTTAGTCTATTTTTTACTTTTTTACTCTTTTTTTTTTTTTCCATATCCTTTTAGGGGAAAGCAAGACTTGTTTTTGCCATTAAAAATGTTATAAAAAAGAGGCTCTACAAAATGTCATGTAAAGAAATTTTCTTCAAGAGCAACTGTGCACAATGTACACATATTACAAAGAAATTTCACTAATAAACTTCTTTTTCCCTGGGATAATTCTGCCCAGACCCAAAAACAACAAAAACACTGCTAGGGCTCTCTCTCTACACTTCTCCGCAACAATTATCTTCCTTTTTCTTTATTAATCAACAGACACTATGCTTGTAAAAACTTGAAGAATGTAATGATTGATGCATTAGTAGTTCATCATCTACCATGACCATTGATCAGGTACTGTAAGAAAATAGGATGTCATTGCTTTCCGGAATCTTTTCTTGTATTGTTTGGGAGAAATAATGGTTGGGGAAGCATTCCTGGGGCCTCCAAGTATGCCAGATGCCTTAACCCATGTCTCCAAATGCTTGTCCCATGTATATTGTCTGATGAAATCAATGATCCCTACAACCAGCTCCTTCCGCTCCTCATCCACCCCAACCAGCAAAGAATAGTCCATCACATCAACAGACTGAACCAAAAAAATTTAGAAAAAAATAATCAATGGCAATCATCAAAATTCAATGGACATCAACTATCAACTTTAGAAGATGAAGGTGAAAATGGCCAACAGCTGATAGAAATATTCCACGATAATTTTACCCTCAACAACTTTTGAATGAAGTTAACGAAGATGTTAAAATTGATCAAAATGAGGTTAGCAATGATTATTTCAGTCGACTAATAAAAGACTAATTTTCAGCAAAATTATAATAGCACGTTATTATACACGTCTAGTTTATTAATATCAAACGTTATTAATGTTGGACTCTATGTTATATACATAAATGTACAGAGGGAGAACTAGAAGATAAAATGTTTCCATACTTGGAAGTTAAACAAAAGGAACCATCAGCCTAAAGGACAAGTTGTACCCTGGATTCTAGACTCAAGTCCCCACCTTGTATGGCAAATTCAGAAAGTCAAAAGAGAGGCACTTTAAGAAGTACGAACACAGACATGGACATGGACATGGACATGGACATGGAACACACCAACACGTAAATTTGCAAAATGCAGAAGACAACAAGTGGGGGACAGGAGCAAAATATTTAGCTTTATATATTAAATATATGAAATATTTCATTAAAAGAGAATACAAAAATGAAACATAACACTTATTCCTAAAATTTTAAAGAGATTAATAGATACAAATCTATATTGCTTTTAATTTATCATCGTATCCTATCCTCTAAGTTATCTTGTTCAAACTTATAATATGTTTTATGTATGTCTAAGCTATAAACATGTGTGTTCTCAAGTATCTAAAGCATGTCTGGTTCTAAAAATGTTTAAAAATAAGACACATGTTAGGAAGTGTACAAAGAGTGTCGGTGTCCCATAGAGACACACCACTCTCTTAGAAGTGTCCATGCTTCTTAGGAGGCACTTTTACTAAAAACTAATGAGACATTCATCAATGGAAAAGAGCCAATGGTTCTTAGTACCCTATGGTCCTGGGACATCTCTACCTCAATCTGGTCTTATCCGGTGTATGGTGCCTTTATATGGCAACAAAAGATGAGATGATTGGGACATAAATTTGAAAGGCCTGTAAGAATATTACAGCCAACAAATGCTTCAAAGTATGAGTTCAAATTTCAACAACACTTCAAATTTATGTCAAAAACACCTTGAAATCAAAGTCAGGACCATGATGCAATCATGACAATGTGATGCTAAAACAACTTGCTTACCGCTAGAAAAGATGTATCATTCCAAATAGCTCGCTCTAAGATTCTTTTGGCCTTGCTCTCAAGAAAAATGGGTTGTGTACGAAGTGTTTCTAGAAGATTCATATCTAGCAGTACTTTGTTTGTCCCTGTTGTATCCGCATTGTAACGAGACCGCTCAGAGCCCTTAAGATCATAGACCCTCGAGATACTTCTTTTGAAAAATACGTTTTCCATAACCATCAGATCCATTTTTGTTTCCTTGCCACCTTTTGAGTGTTTGACAGTGACCTGCAATTTATACTACCATTTAGAATCATAACAACTGAACCAAGAACAAAAGAACACACACATAACCACACTGGCCTGCCAGAAAAGGAATGATGAACTAACCCGATAAATACCAAGAATTTTAGCAAGGCAGGTAGGACTTCTCGAGCTGAGAGAACCTGTCAAATACTTAAAGTACTCCAGTGCAAATTCCTCGAAAGAATCCAACTCAGTCTTCTGGACTTGTTTAATTATAAATCTTTCATCCAAAGACTTCGCAAAGTACACATAGCTCTTTCCCCCTTGAGCACTCCATCTCTTGCAGCGGCTCAAGGAACGTATAAAATCCACTTCACTGGGGCAGCATTGCTTTCTAAGAGCATCAAACTGCTTTGCAAAATAACAGGTGATTGAAAACTTCACTTTGCCCCCACCAATTAAAGACTCGTCTTTGAAAGAAATTTTCAGATGGGAAGAATTCTTAGGATCTGTAGATGAGACAGTAATTATCAATGAAGCATCTTCAGATCCATAACTTCCATTGATGATGTAATCCAAATCCAGAGATCCAAAAGACTGCCACTTGGAAAATGTAGAAGCTGAAGAATTTCCTTCATGCCTATTCGGCTTATCACTGCTTCTTTCATGCCCACTCGGCCTGTCAGCAATCCAATCCTCATATTTGTTGGAACTGAGGGCATAGGATATTATGCTAGTAGGTTCATCATCATAAACAACAACTAGATTATTTTGGCCAGTTTGTGGAAGCAGCAATCGTTCCCCATCAGACATAAGGGATGCAGAAGAGATAAATGTGGATGTGGAATTGAGTGAGAGATTTAACTTCTGGGCCTCCATGGGTAAAACTTGAGAGTAAGTCCTCTGTACATTAGAAACTGGATCTCTAACCATACACCTGTACTCTCCAGAAGCATGAAAAGATCCAAGTGTTGACAAATGCAATGAAGATGGGGGAAATCCTTTCCTAATTCTTTCTTGAAGTCTCACAGCAGAGTCAAAAGAATACCCTCTTGCCGGAGTCGTTAGCTTTCTAAGAGTTGGATTGCCTGTTTGATTTATCACCTGAGGTCCATCTGCCCGTCGGGTATCTGTTCCCAACATAAGTTGATCATTTCCAGTCCATGCAGAATCTATTTTATCAGACAGATTGGTGGAAGGTGAGGGGATTGTATCTGAGGAGGTCGTACCAACCATAATTTCCCCATTAGAGTGTAATTCTTCATGTTTGTAATACTGACCTGAGGTTGACATGGATTCTTCTGGAACACCAGGCTCAGATGGCAAGTTAGGCTCACACTTCTGATTTGGCTGTATACCATTCTTGCAGAACTCTTGTGATTGTGAAGACTCCAGCACACTTTCTTCAAGACCACGTTCCGGACTGCCATCCTTAGAACACGACTCACTTCTCCAGTCTTTCAGCTCAGCATAAGATGTAGTATCCTTTGCATCCTTGGAACTAAAACTCCTTGTTGTAAGAAGGGAATCCAAAGAATAGAACCGACGATCCCAAACATGTGAACTAATTACAAGGGAATGCCTCAAGCGATTAAGCTCAAGAATGTCCACAGATGTCTGATCAAATGGTGAAGTCTCTTCACCAGCTGGTAGAAGCAAATCCTGTTCATGAGAATGGAGATTAGGTCATGCATAGTTGGAAGCATTTCTTCTAAGAAAAGTTAAAAACTAAGATAGATAAATTTATACCTAAACCCACAAATAAATAAATAAATAAATTTAGTGTTCATATTGAGATATAGCCTCAATCACTAGTGGTATTTACCTTGTAATCATTCCTCTCTTTTATTAAAAGGCTTTTTAACTCCATGATGTGGTTATCTAGCTCACTTGCATCAGATTTTTCATGTTCCAAGGACATATTTTTCTGTTCAATGCTGTCAAGTACAACCGATAACTCTGCATACAGGGCTTCCATTTTACTCAGAAACTGTGAAGACAAAAGAGAAAGGGTTATATTATCATTATTTCTTTGAAAGAAGAAAAAATTATTTATTAAATTATATATATTTATAAATATATATATATATATATATAAATTTAACATCAGATTCAAAGAAAACCAGAATATAGCAAAGTTAGGTTCAAAATGGCACCTCTGCTGCCTCTTTTCTTATCCAATTCTGTTGAACATGGCCATTGAACTCCAGCATTAATAGTGGCAAGCGGACAGAAAGAACATCAACAGGAGAATAACGAAAGAACGCAACCCTACTCCCAAACCTGTTGAAGCAAAACAAAACATGTCACTAGTTACCATCATCACACTCTGCAATTCGACAAATTTCTCAACCATCACCATTATCACACATAACAATTGACAATCCCAATTTGACAAATTTCTCAACAATCACCATTATCACACATAAAAGTTGCAAACTGAAGCAGATTCTGAAAAACGTACCCATAGTAACGGAGGCAGTCCTTTTGCAGAGAATGACCACAGCTTGCAACACGATTAGCAGTCGCATGGTTTGAAAAACTAAGTTCTAAAAACTTTCCGAAGGAAAGTCCCCAAGCAGCATGTGACATAATCACTCTCCGGGTTGCTGGTGGAACTCCATCTATCTGTGCGCACTTAAGGCATCGGTGCCACATCCATATCTTCCCGTCACGCTCCCCAGGTAGCTTCACAGAGGGAAGGCATCTAACATTTATTGTCAGGTTTCCCTGCTGCTGAGTATAGCATAAGACATGGGCTTCAGTTGGTTCTTTACAAGATCGGCAGCTAGATGTCTGGCAACACAGAGCAATTAATTTGTAATTTTTAGTTTATAACCAGGCATCACAAAGATTAGAAGAAATGAACCTAAACTTGTTACCTGACCAAACAGATCATCGCGAAGATACTTCCCAAGTGGCTTATCAAAACAGCCATAGAACTTGATGCGAAGGAGTCGAGAGCGCTCACACACAGTTCCATTTAGCACACAACGGCTAGAAAAGGATACCAATATGCTCTGGTGACTGTCTGTTGCTGAATAGTATTTACTCGAGGCTTCATTATCATCAACCCTGTCGGGCCGTTTAAGTTCATAAGCTTCCCTTGGTGGCCTCTCATCTTGACCTGTGATCTCCAATTCCTGACGGGTATAATTTACAATCCCAGAAGGAAGCACGCTGGGGTCCTTTATATCCTCCAAAGCCACATTAGATACTATATTATCATTGCATGTACCAGAAGGTACATATCCAACTCTACACTCCATCGAGGTGGTAAATGAATCATGACCAGGATTACAATGCTCATACGATAATTCCTGCAATCCAGAATCCGAATTGAGACCAACAAATTCTTCATTAATATCTTGGTCAGAATTAGGGATAACTGAAATGGCATTATTAGCTGTTGTCCTCCCTGGTATGGAAATTGAAGGCTTCGTTGTCATTATGGGAAGACTAGCACCCTCATCAGAAAGGAAGGAACTTTCCAAGGATAAATGATAAGCTGCAAAAATTGCATATTGAACAACATGCTTGACCTTCTTCAGTTCTTCATAACACGAGCCCTTCAGCAGTACCTGCAAGAAGTTATACATAAAAGGTTAAGCAAGAAACATCTTCTAGGTGTTACTCAGAGACAACAATAAGAACAGAAATTATGTTTAAAAGTACAAAGGCTACACCGTATCTGTTGGAGATAATAATATATTATTATCTCCAACAATATCCACAAATATGACAAGAAATAATATATATATATATATATGGAGAGAGAAGGAAAGAAAAAAAAGAGCAAATTTAAGTACAAAAATTGCTAATTTTTAGCCAGACGATACTATGTACTACTGATGAAGATGTTTTTAACTCTCAAATTCTCAAGTATCTAGCTTTTTGACAAGCTGTTCCCAGAATCTGGAAAACCATTCCCCTTGGTAAAGAGCACTAAATTCTGTAATAAAAAGAAAACGACAATCTTTTCAATTTAAAACAATTTGACTAAACAGAACGGACAGATACATAGGGAGGAGGACTAGAGATTCTTCACGGATAATAGTAACCGAACATAAAAGCCAACGAAGTGAGGAGAGAAGCAGAACAACAATATTTGCACAACCCAACACCATCAAATAAGAAGATAGAAATGCTTGAATGTTGGAGAACAGACTTTCTTTTCATTTACTTCTTGTGATAGCATTGCAAAACATGTAGGTACTAATCCTAACAAGACATAAAATTGCAAAAAAACAATAACATTGTGGGCCACTTCTAAATCCATGTGAAAGAACATGAAGATCATATTAACGAGTACAAAGGTATACTAGATGGGAGTGTACACACTATGCATGTGGACATCAGATCTTGAAAATGTAAAACAGAGGCACCATCATTGAAAAGAAACATGGGAGTGAATGGGATAGTAGACAGAGATGCGGGCTTAATCACTCGAGTAGTAAAGAGCAGGTGTGGGCACCACATCACACCACACATCGGATTTGACTTTCCGTGTTTGATTGTGAATCATTGGTCTATAATTTGGCAGTAAACCCTTTTTCCCACAAGTCATTGAATTCTATTTTATCTTTATTGAGGGACTATGGAAAATTTAAATGACCAAATCTGAATAACCCACATGTTGCCAAATATAGACCAATTCACTAAACTTGGAGCTGCCACCTAATTTTTAGGGAAAACTATAAAACCCTAACTCCATGTTAACTTAAGCCAATGATCCATCACAACCAAAAATCTTGGGAAAGATCATTGATTGAGCACCTCTTTTGCCCAATCTAACAGATTAGACTCTACTAGTTTCTTTTCATAAGATTTATTTCAATTTTTAATTCCACATACTCATTTTATTTCATCTAATCCTTTTAATCTAACCTACCATCTAAGTGAGATGCACAATATAGACTGTTACCTAAACTAGAGTGTTTCCATTGTTGCAAAACTCTTTTTGATTCTAAGATAAGAAGCTTTCCAAAGATGGGGTGGAAAGTTTCCTAACATATTTTTCTAAAATTAGGTAGAAGAACTCTGGTTAAGGATGAATTTCTAAATATCTATACATTGCAGTGTGACCTCTTTTCAGTAAGTTTTTTAAAAGAAAAATTGCAAGTGATCGCAGTATGATCCATTTCCTAGTAGCAGGAAACTCCTACTGGGGTGACGCATCTTGCTCAAAAACTTCATTTCACTCTCTTATGTAAGATGATTGTAAGAAACTTGAGCCTGTCGAAGAAAACTCACTCCCAACTAAGATAGAACCTCTCAAACATACAACTCGTAAAGAAACAAAAGAAAAACAACTCAAACTTATTCTAGTACTTTGTATTTACCTAACATTTATCTATACTTAACAAAGACAATTTGTAGTTGACATCAATCTCCACTAATAATTCATATTTTAACAAATATATTACAACTAATTCAGAAAAAATATTTGTTAAAATATATTTATATGTTCAATATATAAAATATATACACTATGCTCCCGGCCTTAGAAACTTATATATTCCCTCACTCCCCGGCTCTGGCCCCTCTTCGTGCAACTAAGCTCAGAACCTCCCCATGAAGAAGGCATGATCCCCAATTCATGATACGTAAAGCCCCAACATCCCTTTCTAAGAGTCCTTCAAAAAGAATCTTTTAATCTCCTATGTCAAAAATGTAGGTCGTGAGGTTCCTAACGACCTCGTATACATATGACCAATATAATAATGACATCAGACTGGGTATAAACTGCATCTCCAAAGAATTTGAAGGCATCACTTCAAACAAAAAACTAGAATAACTTTCATCCAACAAGTCCAGGGAAAGTGGTACGTAGTTAATCTATAATTTTAGCCCCAATATCATGGCAGACTGTAATGAAAATGTCAGCTTTATCAACATCCTGCTCTATGTCTGCAAGCGCTCCAAATGAATAAAATGTGCACTGACTCACCCATGTTTAAAATAAAATAAAGTGCAGTGCTAGAAAGAATCAGAGAACTTCATTTCACAAGAGGAATGCATACAAGCCACGTGCTTAGTTACATCATATGTAACGAAACAAACTCATACAGAACTTAATATCTTCCAAGTATCAAATGCAATTGAAATTAATAAGAAATATTACCGTGCAACCTAAACGCCTAGGACAACCTTCAAAAAACATCAAGGTTTTTGAGGGCTTCTTGAATTGATTGGCTTTCTCAAGCGCTTTAGATACCTTTTCCAACCGAAAGATTTCACAACGTCCCAACCGTGTCGCAGAAATAGCATCAATTGACGGAGTTATAAGAGCACCAGTGCACCTCGCTATGCGCTCCAATAATGGCCTTTTAACATTCAACACTAAAGAGATCTCCTTTTCCAACAGATACTGTTGGGCATATGAAGATACACTTTTTTCTACAAGCAGCACATTTGGACTGTGTGCCTCTATCTTTGACACAATCATCTTCAGATGATCAATTTCCTGCTTAAAGAACAGAGTTCAAATTCCATTATAATTGCTCCAATCTCACTAGAAAGATGAATAAACAAGCCAATGAAGAAAAAAAAGAAACCTGTTGCAGTAATGTATCAAAAGAAGAGAGCTGATTAGGAACCCTATGGTACTCAAGTGCTCCTCCTAAAAGAAGTAATCTGGGGTTTTTGTATTGTGAAGTCATGCGCTTGTGTTTAATATTCTTTGTACAAACTATTCCTTTAACAAGTGTGCTGCATGCACAACAAATAAATAATTTCAATACTAGTGATGCACACTGGAGAAATACAAGTAGATAAAATATCTGAAACATGGTGACACAAAAACGATTAAATAAACAAAAGAAGATAAAAATAAAAATCTTACCTCTCATGAGGACTTCCTGATGCTATACACTTAACCTTTACATAATCTCCGGGATCCATACTGCCCCCTCTGCTAGTATCTGGTCTGACAAAATTTGCAGCTTGCCATGCTATTGCGGTAACAATGTCAAGCCAGTCTTCTGTGCTGCTTTCTTTGCCCACCTTGAAACCCTCCCCCTGTAACAATTGTAACACAAGAGCCCTAAAATGCCCCTGTACCACAGCTCTCAGAGATTCCTCATGGCCCCCATTTTGTCTATCCTTTGCCGCAATGCTAGCAAGGCTACTACTGGATGAAAACGCCACACCTGATTCTCCAATCTCATCATCCTCATCATCATAAGCAAATAAATTACTTTCTGATTCATCATTGTCGTCATCAGGTGGTGGAGGGAACCAAATTAGACCATTGTTTTTGAAATCCAATGGCTTTTGCAACGTGTCACATTCGTCCCGAAATATTGACAAATCATCAGTAATTTCTGTATCCTCAGTCCCTCTCATTGGCCTGCTTATAACAGCCATTTTGTCTTGATCAAAGGGAACATCATTATGAGACCTCGGAGTTCCCACTTCTTTCTGCTGTACAGAATGGCCAACTCTATTGGAAATCCTAGAGGGGCTGTCAGAAGGACTTGATCCCACTGACTTATAACTGTAAAATTCATGTCTAGCACTAATGCTACTTGCATCTATATCCGAAGTGTCATTATAGTATTCACTGGATGGGCTGCAAAAGTATCCTGCAGAATCCTCAGCCTTTTCTTCATCACTCCTACATTCATAAACACATTATTGACTAATCATTCACCCAATGAGAATCATATTCTAATCTGAGACTCGGAGACAAACTAAAAGCTCTTATAAGAATTTGGAAGGCATCACTTGGCCAGCATGATATAATTTCTTCAAAAATAATCATAACTAGGGCCGATTGGTGCAACTTATATAAGCTGCTTATAGCTTTTTTTAATTTGAGAGTTAGTGCCCAACTATTTGGCACATCTTTTGCTTACAGCTTATTAGGTAGAGAAATAAGCTAAAAAAAGCGAATTATCTAAAAGCTAGAGGAGGGGCGTTTTGGCTTCTTCTCTGTGATTACCAGCTTTTAAATCAATAAGTTGTGCCAAGCTGGATAATTGTAAAGAGCATGAAATTAGGTCACCCAATTAAATCACTAAGTCTTAACTTGAGTTTATTATACTCGCACCAAGAAATCAAAAAAATAAAAAATAAAACAACATAAACAGAATTCGATCCACATGTATGTAAAATAAAACCATTAAATTTTAAGCTTGCAGGTTCGTGAACTAAGAAAACATAAATTATTTAAGCATTTTGGCATAAGAACTAAGAAAACCGAAACTTCATACCATCGAATTTTCTAAAAAAATAAAGATAATCTGAAAAGGTATTTCTTTGTACCTGCTTGACGAGCGACGAACAGAGACTGAAGAGGAATGATCAGTAAATGAAGTAAAACTGCTTCTGGTCAAAGCATGGGGGGAATAACCATCCAACCTTTCACCACTAAAACTCGGCGATGGAGGTTCAGGGCTCTGTCTGGGAGACTCAGAAGGATAGATTTTATCACTATACTTTCGTTCCCCTTCATTCCTAATACTAATCTCTGAACAAAACTTGCAAGACTTAATAACAACCTGAGTACCCACGTTGCTTTTTGCATCACCTGACACAACATCCAAAGAACCATAGGCACGTACACAATCCACACACAACATCCTACCACATCCTTGGCAATGGAACTTATAGCAAGTGTCTGCAAAGTTCAATTCACACTTGCAACACATTCCGCAATTGTTATCAGGCATCTCAAATTCGCTGGATAAAGAAGTCAAATCACTTGTTCCCCAAGAAATCCTAGACCTAACGTTCTCTATCAAATCTAGTAGAGAACTATCAGGTATTCCCATAGAAAAAACCAACCCCTCCTCAATACAAAAACTGAATCCCTCTTCTTCTAATATAAAATTGAAATTAACAAAAAAAAAATTACAACTACTAAACCAAATTTATCTGATTCCTCTGGTATAAAAAACAACCCTGATTAACAGAATAGAAAATTATGAAACCCAACAAGAAAAAAAAGGTGGGTCATGATTACAAATGATTTTGATTTTTTTTTTGTGGCTATTTTAGGTAAGGACAGTGAAAGGATCTAAACTCCCCCTGGAATCACAAATTCTCAAAGGAGGGAATTGATGGGTACAATTAAATTCACAAAAGATTGGATTTTGCGTTTACACCAAAACGTAATCCAAACAACAACAATGACCCGTTAATTTTTCTCTTATTTATTTGGTTTTATGATCTGCGTGAGACTACCAAACCCTAAACCCCACTACCCGATCCCAAAAACATCAAGACTACAGAAACAAGATCCTCTATAAGCGACATGATAGATAAAATTGCAACTATAATCCTCTAAAGTCGAGAATTTAATCGATATGACAGAAAATAAACCCTACCCACCAACACCAAGTACAACAACAACAACTACTACAACTAACTGCTGAATTCAGTGAATTTGAAATGGAAAAAGGGTCAGAAAAAAAAACCCTTGAAATCAAGTGAAAAAAGGGGAACAAATTGATGCGATTACTGATATTACATGTGTATAACAAGAGATTTAGCAAGTAGAATTCAATACAGAAAAGGGGTTAGAGCTATAGAGAGAGAGAGAGAGAGAGAGAGAGAGATTTATTAAAGGATGAATAGGATGAGAAGGAAAAGTTGGAGAAGGAAGAGTACGGAAGAGGAGGTTGCGTTTGTGGCTCTAATCTCGAAAAACAGGTCCTGTTCTCTCTTGTTCTGCTTCTTCTTCGAACCCAACAACACCACCATTTCACTTTTCATACCCAACCTTCCCGGCAAGGCTTTCATTTTCATTCCCCACAGACAAAACAACTATTATAAAACTCTCTCTCTCTTTCTCTCTCTCTGACTTTATCTTATGCTTTTTACTTTCTCTCTCCATATCTCTTTCGCCCATGGAGGAGCAACCCCCGGTCCAAATTTGGACCGAAGGGCTGTTTGGGCCGTCCATTCATAATAATTTTAACGGTTTATTTTATTAGATATTTTAGATATTTTATTTATTTAAAAAAATTTATTAATAAATTAATTTGATAATTATAACTTATTTAATTTATTATATTTTTAATTAAAAAAATTGTATCTTTAAAAATAGATTATATATTTTTTTGGGTTAAAAATGTAATAAATTAAGTTATAAATCGAATCAATTTAATTTTTTGTGTAATAAAATATACAAAGTATTTAACAAAATGAACAATTTAAACTCGTAATAAGTTTCACAAGTTTAAATAACGTCATTCAATCCAAAATCTAAACTAGAGGGATCGTCCTCCTTCCTTTTGATGTTTTGATTTTGATTTTGATTTTGATTTGATGATTTAGAAATAGTTTGCTCATTCACTTTTTAATTAAAAAAGTTAAAATTTATTAAAAAATTAGTATGTCATATTACACATGTCAATCAATTATTTATTTTTCCTATAACTACCTATAATCTATTTAATTAAAGAGTCATTTCAAAGACTATAACTTTTAAAGAGTCATTTCAAAGACTATAACTTTTTTTCATTTTATAAAAAAGTTAGGCTGTGTTTGGAAAAACTCTCCAAATACATTTTCATCTCTTATTTTTAGTGTATTATTTGTTTAGAATTTTCAAAAATTAATTTCATACTTACTTTTGAAAACTTTTTTCAGAGCGAAAAAATTTGGGCTAACCGATCATCCTCCCAGACATGCGGCGAGTTGACCAGAACAATGCTATTTTTTTTTATTTTTTTTTACAATTGGCTCTTGTTATTTTTTATATTTTAAATAAAAAAATCAAAATATTTTAAAATTCTTTATGAGTTTTGAATAGAATTTTGAATTATGTGTTTGGTTATGAGTTATAAGGTTTTGTATCAAATATCATATATCACATCAAAAATTTCCCATTCAATTTAAAACTCATTTCAAAACTCATTCACTAAATAAATTTTCTACACTCAAATCATAATTCTAAAACTCACAAACTCAAAATACAACTCTATTCTCAAATCACATTTACAAAACTCTACCAAACACTACCTTAATAAGTCAAAAAATTATTGAAAGATAATTATTTGGAAATAAACTTATTTAGTAATTTTTTATTTTTTTTAATTAAAAAACGTGTTAAAAATTAGTTGGTTGATTTTTTATATTAAATTTTTAGTTATTTTATTATTTAATATGTGTTTAGTGATGCGGAATAAAACTAATTTTTTAGGTAGCTTATAAGATTAACGGTTCGAATTATCATTATAAATTCAAATGGAATTTAAAAAATAAAGGGTGAAACACCAATAAATCTCAAAATGTAATCTTGTGAACTGTTTAGTCTTTTTTTTTTTTTTTTATGAACTCAAAGGTCTCATTAAAGTAGAAATTACACAAAAGAATAGTTACTTACATATTTGGATTTAATTTTTTAAGGATAAAAGTGAGTTTCTCCAAATGTAAAATTACATATTTGGGCAATCCGCATTATAGAAGATTTGCATTTTCGCTTCTTTTGAAACAAATCTCACATTACGAACAAAAACGTAACAACTCCAATGTAACACATTAAAAAACACTTCAGTATATTTTTCTCAAATGTAACAAATATTAATAAAAAAAAAATTCTTACTGTATTTTTTCTAAACATAACACTCCAATCAATGTAATCTTAAACGTAACACTCTAATGTAACATATTCCAATGTAACACATACAAAAACACTACAAACTTCTTAATGTACTTTTTTCAAACATAACACTCACAGTTGAAATTATATTTGCTCAAATTTATTAAGGAATTTTTGTACTTCTTTTGGAATGGTTTAAAGAATCCCTCATTATTTTGGAACAGTTTGAAGAATCTCACATCCTTATCTGGAGTGTTATATTAAAGTGTTACATTTTGTAAAAGTACACTAAGAAGTTTTTTTTGTGTATTATATTAAAATGTTACACTAAGGAGTATTTTTTATAGTGTTATATTGGGGTGTTACATCAGAGAAAAGTACATTAAGAAATTTTTTTGGGTGTTACATTAGAGTGTTACACTAATGAGTTGTTTTGAAGTGTTATAATGAAGTGTTACGTTTGAAAAAGTACACTAAGGGCATGTTTGATTGGAGGGATTAAAGCATGGGATTGGGATTATTAATCCGTGGGCCCAATTATCCTATGTTTGTTTTGACACTTTGGTTTAGGATTATTAATCCAATGGATAATTAATCCAACAAATTTGTAGGATTATTAGTAATGGGGTAGGGGTGGGATAGTTAACACCACACTAATTTGATAGGATTATTAATACTTCACTAATAGTGAAGTGAATCAAACATGACCTAAGGAGTTTTCGTGTGTTACTAGAGTGTTATACTAAGAAATTTTTTTGGAGTGTTATGTTTAGGAAAAATACATTAAGATTTTTTTTTAGATTGTTATATTAGAGTGTTATATTGGAGTGTTGCAATTTAAAATTATACATTTGTCCAAAACTTATTAAGGAGTTTTTGTACACTTTTTGAAATATTTGAAGAATCTTACATCCTTTTAAAATATTTGAAAAATCTCATACTTCAAGTCATTTTTGTATTTCTTTTGATAATTTTTTTCTAATAAAAAAGATTCTCATACAAAAATTCATCTCAAATTTAATTATCATAAATTGTGTACCTTACCTTTCTAACACACACACACACACAAAAAAAGAAGAAGAAGAAGAAAAAGAAGAAAAAGAAAAAGAGAGAGAAAGAAACATAATAGAAATAAGGGTATAACCGTAAATCCAATTTTCAAATAATATATTAAATTTATCTTTCCAAAATCAATGGAACTAATTGGTATATAAGAAAATTCTTGGCACTAAATAGATTACCATTGCTCAAAATAGAATTATAGGTAAATTTTCCAAAAATAAAATATGAGAAGCTATAGAAAATAGTAATGTAGAGGGTAATGTTATATGATTAATGAACTATGTTATTTTTTGTCACGCCCCCAAAATAATACAAATAATTTAACTCATAAGAGAAATGAATATAATAGAATTAGTATACTTTCACATATCAGAGTCCATATTACAAAAGATGTTACATGCATTATATATTCATAAATGTTCATTCTGAATCTACAGTATGTAACATAAGTTAATAACAACAAAATGAATATTCTACGGGCTTACATCTTTCCAAGACATTACTTGGTTACAACAAAAGAGAGTCATAAGCTCTATACATATAAAGCCATCAGCTTAAATAAATATTTAAACACAAAATAACAAAATAGAGCCTCCAGCTCCTAAGTCCTTCCAAGTTACGTCATTGGAGGAAGCATGTTACCGGTACCTGAAAATGATTTCCCAAGTAGGGTGAGCCAAAACCCAGTAGAAACAGTCTATCACAATATATGAGGTTTAACTAAGATATAATTGTCAGCTAGACATCAAACATTTATGACCAACGCACAATTTCTCCCTGACCATTCAATACTGATGTTTACATCCTAATCCATTTCCATTGATTCATTCCAAGTTAATTCGTATCATTTCGATTCATATGCCTAAGTGTATAATTTTCAAAATAACCCAACCAAGATTATAACTCAGTGGTTCTCAATCAATACAACTATCACACAAGCACTTCAATCTTGCCATTTTACGAAAATTTCGTTCGCGGGATCGACACCCATGTACATACATAAATTTCGGGACTTTTACCTTGGACACTCTGGCCAACTTAATTTTCAATGGAGTCTATTCCCTATTTCCTCCCAAACAATAGAGTATATCCCCTTTCTCCTTCCAAAATGTTATACATATACAATGTATTTAAAAACGTCGTCATATTTAATGACCATCAACTATGCATATTCAATGCCTTATCATTCTGTCGTATTCAATGACATAATTTAAGTGATTAGTTTCATTTCACTTAATCCTCATGCAATTTCTACAACAATCATAGTTATCCTCCACTGATAGCCCAATATAAATATTTCTAAACAGATATACAATCTTTATAACAGATAATTCATCAAATTTCCATTGGTGAGTAATTTAAACAAATCCAACTACACCATTCATTTATACCTTTTCCCAATTTCACATTTCTCACGCCAATTTCATTATTTATACAAAAAATAATTATTCCAACATTTTAGGGCAAACTCCCTATTTTTCCAAATATTAATCCCAAGACTAAAATCAACTATTTTAACACAAGATAACTTCAAAACCAAACCCCATGATCAATTATACAACATCACATAAAAATCTCTCTTTTTAGACTTGAACCCAACCCTAGGTTTCTTCCAAAACACCCCAAATCTCACCATTTACCCATAACAACAAATAACTAGGTTAAACATCATAACAAAGTGTAGAATATCCCTACCTCAAAGAAAGAAGTCGAGCCAAGCAAGGATGGAACTTCAAAAGTGACGAAACCAACTTTTATTTGGATCAAAAGTGAAGAGCTTGAGGAGTTCTACCTTTTTCATTAAGGCACAAGGGTTGAGAAACCACGAAAACTAGGTGGAAATCTAGAGAGAGAGATTATTTTAGAGAGAGAGGGTCTCACTTTAGGGTTTTGAGATGAATAGATCTGAAAAAGTGATGTAAAAAGTGCTTTTCGCGATCTAATATACGTGCAGTCCGCTCAAGCGGAGAAGTTGATGCTCAAGTATCAGACACAAAGTTTTGTTCCGCTTTAGCGCAAAAGTGGCCCGCTCGAGCGTAGAATACACACATCCAATACCTTGGTAGACAACAGACAAACCGCTCAAGCGCAATAAAAGCCGCTCGAGCGCCCACCCACTCGAGCGTAGGAAATGCCACTCGAGCGTGGGAAACACCCCTCTAATATTTTGCAGACGTGTAAAATACTGAGTGATTGCAAACCCCGCTTGAGCGGAAGACCAAAATTCTGGGCAACAACAAT